ATTTATTTATTATCTCTGTCTCTTCTCTACTAATAACTAACTACTCTCTCTCTCTCTCTCTCTCTCTCTCTCTCTCTCTCTCTCTCTCTCTCTCTCTCACACACACACACACACACACACACACACTGTATATGCCTATTCAGGTCCTCCCAAGCTTACCATTTTCTGAAAAGAGATATTCACATGGCAATGGGATTATCTATTTATTCTTTGTACTTATATAGTTATTTTAATTATTCTTATCTTTTGTATGCCAAAGTCTCCACTACAGCTAAGAATGAAGAATTTAGCCATCTGATTGCTCGTCTGTATTTTGTCATCCACACTTCAAGAAACTTTTTTATTTCTCTTCCTCCACTTCTACTTTTTTTTTTTTAGTTATGCTATGTGGCCAGTCAGTCTCCTGGGCATTATTACTAAGTTATATTTGCCCAGTATATATATGGGAATTTTGTTAATTTATTGACCCAAGGTAATGTGCTGGCTGAAGTAAGCCAGCTGGGCTGTCAATATTTGATCAGTGCATAGTCTTTCATTGATCTGAAGGAAGAGGATATGAGCAAAATTAGTATCATCTAATACAGATTGTCAATTAGTCTGAATAATAATTAATTATATAAAAATACCATTATGCAGGTTAAATGTGCCAGTTTCAGAATATCTGAAATACACACTCAAAAAAGTGTCATACAGTATTTGCCTTTTCTTTAACTTTTATATTCATTGTACTACTCAAGTTCTCCCCCCAAAATAAATGTCATCCTCAGTTGCTGGTAAACTTATCTACAGCTATTCTTCTACGTGCCAATGACTTAGTTATGTTATCCTTTACTTGGGTGGTCCTAAGGAGGAGTCTGCAAGCACTAGCAGCATATTGTACAAAAGAAAAATTGGGTTTCATTAATGCCAAAACAAAAGTCACTGGGATTACTAAAAAGAACATTAATTATAACTGGAATATAAACCATAACCATATGAAACAACAAATATTTAGGAGTTACCTTGAAGTCACCTACAGCTTTGATAAAATATGTGTTGTAATTATTATTGTAATGTCCTAAAGTTGTTATGTTTTGGAAAGAAGTAATTACATAAATAAAGTTGATTCTGAGACAGGGATTACTATTTTCAGACAGTCATATTCTTCTGAACTATATAACCTAATACACAGAAATTGATGGCGGGACAGCAGAAATGAATTCTAGGTGTCCTTCTTACTAATAAGAGATAAGAGTAGAAAGATAAATGTATGTTGCCAGTTCCTCAGAGGCCTGAAGATGTTACTTACAATTTATGAACAAAATGTTTACAGAAATAGATTAGGTATGGAAAATTATAACAACTTTTTTATGCCTTCAAGTCAATCTTGACTCCTGGAGAATGCCTGGACTAGTCCTTGAAGTTTTCTTGGCAAGGTTTTTCAGAAATAGTTTGCCATTGCCTCCTTCCTAAGACTGAGACAGACTGGGTGGCCCAAAGTCACCTAGTTAGTTTTGTGTCTAAGGTAGGATTAGAACTCAGGGTCTCCTAGTTTCTAAACTGGTGCCTTAACCATTAGACCAAACTTATATATGCAATCCTTTATTGAAACCCTTATGTAAAACCTTATATACATAGATGCATATGTGAGAAGCCCATATATCTTTTTTCTTTTTTTCTTTTTCTTAATTTTTCCTTTGTTCTGTTTAATTAAAGGCAAAAAAACATGAAAGAAACTATAGACATCACTGTCCTAGCCCTAAAGATTACAATGGCAGCAAAGTAATGTAGTTCCTGCCATTGTAAAACTGATTAAGGTGCTGAGTTTTTTGCTCAAGGACATGAAGCTCTGTGTGTATACAAATGTAAGAGCTCAATTTATAAGAGCTATGCTCTATGGTCCAAGGCCGTGTTCTCCAAATGTTCTCTTGTGCCTAGATTCTAATCTTCTGTCTATAAAAGTTCTCATGAGAAACAGCTAGCTGAAGTACTAATTTAAGTACTGATTAAAACTAATTAGCACCAAAGGATCTCAGGCCTCCCTAATTCTTGCTCCAACAAGGGGATGATAAAGCAACCTTAGAAATAAAGCATCATGTTCTTAATTCCAATTTACAGAAAGACTGAGTTTATTCCCATAAGAGAGGTCTATGCAGAAATCCCTTTAGCCAAACCAATTATTTTCCCAACATTTTGCTCCACTTACAAGAACATTTCCATTGGCTAAATTTAACTTTTTGCCATCTATAATTCAACACAGGAACTATACTCATATCCCTTTACAAGGCCACCTCTGCCCGTTCAGAAAGTTTGAAGGAATCAATTTCTCATGCTTTGTTGTGATGTCCCATGTCTAACCTAACCTCTTATTTAACAATGCTCTCGTTAATCACCTGGACCAAACAAATGAGGAAAATCTGCTTTTTCTGCCATCAGATCTGCCTACAGAAATAAGCAGGAGAGTTGTTTTGTTTAGTAGCAATTATGGTGAGTATATGGATCTAATTTTGGAATGGTCAACTTGCAAGTTACATTTGATCTCTGGGTTAGGTACTGACTGCTATGTGTTTTACCAATTATTTTATGCCTTGCTTTCTTTTATTTAAGGTTCTTGGTTTGAATAAAAGTTTTTTTAGCATGGTTTTTGACCTCTGACTATAAATAAATGTAATATCATGATTGTGCCTAGTATTTATTGTTGGAGAATTGCTTTTTTTCAGGAGTTGGGTGGCCTCCAAATAATGAATGAATGACTGACTGAATGAATGAATACATAAATAAATATGCTGATGGTCTTAGTATGCTGGCCCTTCAGTAGAGGAGGACTGGTGACAGTAATTAATACCCAACACCCCAGATTTAGAGATTTTCCTAAGTCAGCCACCCAAACAATCGATAGGTGATAGGAGAGATTTAAGATGCGCACATCATTACACAACTTTTCATCAAACATGTCTTTAGCTATCACAGAAATTCTGCATGATAAGGGCAACTTTAAGCATATGGAAAAGGCAATCTTTTGTCATTTCTTCTAGCAACATCCTCATATTAATACTGCTGACTTCATTTTAGTTTTAAGCATTTTCTTATACTTCTCTGTGATGCTTCTAGGAAAGTAGCAATGGCATAATTGAGAAATACCATTTACTAAATTCATGAAAATAAGTCTCAGTGTGCTTTGTGATAATGAAGTTTCCTCACAGATGTACAATCCGTCAATACAAATCATGGTTTCTGAATTTTGCTTTTATTACTATATCGACCCCACAGCCCATTTTCTAGCAATGCAACATTCTCAGAAATTAAAACTTGGCAGTTCTTTGAATAAAAAGAGTTTTATGAAAGTAGATAGGGTTTTTTTTGGTTTACTTTAGAAGTATTTCCAGCATTTGTCTCATTTTATTGAAAACCACATAGAGTGCTACTCAATAATTACAAAACAGATTAAAATTGCATACCTCACAGGGTTGTTGTTGAAGGGAAAATAGGAGGAGAAAGGAGTATTAAGTATGTTCACCACCTTGAGTTATTTATAAAAATAATAAAGGTGGGATAAAAAAAAATTGAGGAAGAACCACAATATCCTAAATATTGCACCTTTAACACCAGTGATTTTCAATTAAATTGACTTCAGCAATAGCAAGAAATTTCAGCAGAATCCTTTCATGAGAAAATTTAATACTTTAGGCTAAGTTACCAAATGAAAAAAGTCATTTTTAAACATACGTACGTATATATATATATATATATATGTATATATATATATATATATATAATGTGAAAACATTTGCAAATATTCACAGCCAAAGGATTAGTGATATAGATACCCAAAATAAAGTAGCATCAGTATATCACTGTAGGATGATAAAATGCTTTTGCCACTATGCATCTGTAGTTAATAAAAACCTAGATATCGTCAGGTTACCTATACAATATTGCATACTAGAACAAATATGAATGAAAATGAGAATAGAATGTTCAATATATTTTTGGATTTTTTTAAAGAGTTGGGATAAACCATCCCAAAATTTTCTAACACAACTTTATTTGTAGACATTTTAATGTTAGCAGTGCTGAAATAAATTAATAATGAAATAACATATATTTTGGTAATGGAAATGTCAAAATTAGTAAAGATTTTGTACATATATCACTATGAATTTTAGAAAAGGAGGAATGCAAGCAAATAAAATACATACATAAATTATTCCAATCCAATTACTTTTTTCTCTCTGGAAATTAGACTGTTATTCAGCATGACTGAGCATTTTCAAACCAGGTATGATTTGACAATCTGATGTTATTGAGATTGAGGCTTTCCAGTATCAAAAACGTTATATTATATATGGACCATGCTGGTCCAGTGTGG